CCCAAAATCTTGGTCTCGGTGCCCAGGAAACGAACTAGCTCCAACTCGGCGCAGTCCACGAAGGTGGTCCAGGCAGCATTCAGGCTAGTCCAAGCCTCGTCAGCAGGACTATGACGTGCAAGGGCGACGGCATATGCTGCCTGATGCAGCGCACCCTCCCAGCATCCTGGCTTGGCACTGGGCCGAAAGGTAACTCAAGCGGTAGCTTGAGGTGGCTGCGATAAATCAACTGCTTGACCTGAAGAGCATCAGGCCGAACCTGTAAAAGCACAGGGCGATGTGGTTTGATCTCCCACTGCATATCAGCTTGAACTCCCGAAATAAGCCTAGCTACACCAGCACCCAAAGCGAAGAAATCAATAATGGAGCTGGAGGTAGGGCTTCTGCACGTGGGCGCTGTGGGGGCCATGAGGAGCATGCCCAGTTTACGTGGGAAACCTGAGCTCTCTACAACATCGGGGGTCATATTCCAATCTCCCGCAATAACCGAATGAGCTGGATCACTTACAGCACGACCCAATTTGGCCATCAGATCAAGATTGAACTCACTGGGTCCTTCGGCCGACTTGAAATACACCGAAAACAACGATATGGTAGGCCACCCAGGGAAATCCACGAGGACCTTCATGAGCCTATGCGGGGCAATGGGTGCATCTCCTTCTGGTGGCCACCTGAGGCCAATGTCCAGACGTCCGAAAACAGCAACACCTGCAGACTTCTTACCTGTGTCAGGGTTGTAATAGCTGGGCGCGAACAGTGCATGCCATCCAAGACTGCGTGCCTTGGCAGTAGCCCTGCCAACAAAATCAGCGCTGGTGCCCACTTCCTGCGCGCAAAGAAGCACTGCTGAACTCTCTCGAAGACGTCGTTTGAGAGTAGTCCAGCACGAACCATTGAAACTCTCTACCTGGTACTGACTGTCAGTACTCGGTCTATGCGGCGCCCCCTTCAGAGGTGGACGGGGGTGCCTGAACACGAGAGCGGGATCCCACAACACTTGGGAGCAGGGCGCTGGAACATAGTGTCACCCACACTTTTGTTTCTTGGCCTTGATCCCCAGAGTTTTGACCATGTGTTCAAAGACGCGCTTGTTATCTGGTCCCTCGGCCTGAGCGGCCATAAACAACTTCTCGACATCTTCTGCATCCAAATCGTCCAAATCCATATCTTCTGGGACGGGGATATTGGCATGCTCATCTCCACCATCGTCTCCTCCCCCCGTGCTCTCCTGGGCGGGACCCGCAGAAGTAGGAGGTGGAGGAGATTGAGATTGTGCAGCCTCTGCCTGAAGCTGAGCCTGCAGGAGTTCCTTGTACTTGCCGAAAGCGGCCGAGGACACGAGCTGCTGCACCTCGGGATCGCTCTGCACCGTCTCGGCCTTGAGCTCGAAAGACGGGACAACTGGGGGGGCCACTTTCGACATGGTCGTCTGCAGCTCCACCTTCGTGGCCTCCACCTCAACCCGCAACTGACGAGCCTTGGCCTGCATGGCAACCAGCTCCTCCTGTGCCGCCTTGATGAGGGCCTCTTGCGCCTTGATGTCATCCTCCTGCTTATCAAGCTTTTGCTGGGTCCGCTGCAACTTGTGCCCCAGCGCCGTGTGGCGAGAGAGAGATACGGCTTCTGGCTGTTGAGTTGATCCCTGGCAGCCTTGAGCTCCTTCTCCAGCGCCTCTTTGACCACGGACGGGAAAGCATCATCATTGCGCACTGAGTTGAGAGTGGTCTCGAGCGATTTGACACGTGCCAGAAGCTGCCGACCTGCGTCATCAGCGAGCGAGTCCACGTTGCTGTCACCACTGGCGGCTGCTGCGTCAGGCTGCTGACGTTGACCACCACCTGCGGCTCCGAAATGCTTGACGAACTGATCCATCTGCTTCTGAAGCTGGCTGATCTGCTTGGTAACTCCTTTGTCCAGCACAGGAGGACCGCGAGCCCAAGCACCGCGTAGAGGACGCTGCACCGCATCGCCACCACATGATGACGACTTCTGCTTGTGGTCCTCAGCCCGCTTCTTAGCCTTGTCAATGATGCTGCGCGGCGCTGCTTGCCCACACTGGCATCTGATGCGGCTCGCGAAATTCGCGTTGCGGCCGCAGCTGTGACATCCCCACTTAGGCTCCCTTGGGCCTGGGAGGACATCTGGATCCACCATGAACGCTCGCTCCTCCAGGAGCTCACTGCACACTGCGGGTTGAGATCCCGCGAACTGAATCGTGACGAGCCAAAAATGACCCGCAAGTGCGATTACCGCTCTGAAGACGGCACTTGCAAGCCCAAAGAACCTGGGCCAGAACGGCTAGAGGCAGGGAGGGGAGGAGGGAGGAGGGGGAGGAGGGGGAGGGGGAGGAGGAAGGAAGGATCGCGGGGCACTCTCTTCAAAACGAGGACCCAACACCACAAGATGGTTGGGAAACATCCAACTCAACACACAACGATATCCCCACGCGCGCACAGGTTAAACCGGCCCAAGCATACAACGCGGGCAATTTCAAAATAAAAATCTGCACACGAAAACAACACACTTCGCATCACAAGCCTAGCACTGATTCTGCCCGCGAGCATCAGCTCAAATCATTGGGCAGCCGTACGACGTTAACAAAACCGCCCGGCACCCGCATTCTCATCTCACCACGGGGCGCATGGGCGTTGATCGGCCATGCGCCCCGTGCACGAATCCCCACCAAATAACATAATACAGTCCGCACGCGCGCGCCGCTCCGCGAGCGTATCGAAATCTGTCCATAACCCTTCGCCACCGAAGCACATCATAATTGAATGTTAGAGGACATGTGCTCTTCAACCAACAAATGTACCTGGGTTCTTGGACTTCCGCGCGCGCACTTCCTCACAAGCACCCTCATCACCGCCGCAACATCGCGTCACCGTCATCGTTACATGCCGCTGTTGCCACCATCACCATCGGACGCGTGGACATCATCCCCATCGTCGTCACCGCCATCAGCGCCGCCACCAGAGATACGATCAGCATCGTTGCCGCCAGTGTCGGCGTCCTCATGATACCGCGACCGCCCGAACCACCGACCCGCATGGAAGTGCCGCGCGCCAGCGCAGCTTTCCACACGCGCTTGGACGTTGCTACCAGTCAACCCTCCTCCATCCTCCCTCCTCCCTCCTCCCTCCTCCATCCTCTCTCCTCCCTTCTCCCTCCTCCCTCCTCCTCCCTCCTCCCTCATCCCTCATCCCTATTCCCTCCTCCCTCTTCCCTCCTCCCTCTTCCCTCCTCCCTCCTCCCTCCTCCCTCCTCCCTCCTCCCGGCTCCAAGAGGACCCCAGAGAGCCCAAGCTGGCCTCCCGAATCGCTCAAGATGGCCGAACATGGCTCAAGATAGCTGACAGCATGCCTCCAAGAGGCCCCTAGATGGCCACAAGACGGATCCAAGTGCTTTTGGAGACCCCTCCGGACCTCCCCGAGAAGCCAGAATCCTTTTTCTCACATCTTCGCTTCCGATGCGCTTTCGAGGCCTCAAGGCCCAAGAGAGCTCCAAGAGGGGCCCAAGATGCCCCCAAGACGGGCCCAAGAGCGCCCAGGATCGCCCCAAGAGCGCCCGAAGAAGCCCCCAGAGGCGATTTCGAGTACTCTTAGGTGGGGGCCTAGAAAAAGGGGGCCCCCCCTTTTGATCGATGGCTTCCAAGATGGCCCTAGGAGGCTCTCCGAAAATGCCAGGAGAGCCCCAAGAGAGCTCCAAGAGGGCCCCAAGAGGGCCCCAAGACGCCGCCAAAGAGCCCCAAGAGGGTCCCAAGACGTCCCCAAGAAGCCCCATAGCTCCAAGAAGGCCTCCCATGCTCCAAGATAGCCTCCAGCATGGTTCTCAACACGTTCCTCCCCCTGCTCTCTTTGACCACTCTGTTTCACTATATGCGTCACTGCTCTTCATTTGCCGTCAGCTCTCGTGGGCAGGGCTTCTGAACGGGCTGGCGGGGATTCGCGAAGCGTACACAATAAGAGAACAGCCGGAGACTGAGGGAAAACAACATTCGAGAGCACGAGAAGCCGAAAGAACAAGCAAGAATACCGCAGACGATACCCCGGCAGGTTATCGCTGCGATGACGTCGGCGTTAGCATCCGACAGCGCGTGGATCGTTCAACCCTGCACGATCAAGGCTTTCTGACAGCGCAGATCGCTCGACACCAACCGATCCCCAGCCACGGACGCCGTTCATCCTCGAACACCCGCGCTGGGGTCGCCGCTGCGTCCACGCGGCGCGAACCTGACAAGCAAAAACCGTCCCCACTGCCACCAGGACACCTTGGCCCCGCTGACCAACCTACACATCCTGGGTGGGGATCGGTGTCGTCTGCTTCGAGTTTCACAGCACCCATCCCCGCCCAGAGGGGGTGCTCTAGGAGACATGCCTCACCCTGTCCCAGTCGGGGTTGGGATGGTTCTGCCGATCTCCCGATGATCAATTTGGGCAGGCTCGTCGCGCAGCCAAGATCTTGAACTGTTGTTCAGCCCCCTCGGCCCAAACAAAAACTGGCGTCACCGAGCTTGTGCACGAGTACTACCAGGCGGCACTCACTCAAACCATCACCCCCACTGGGGACCTGGGAGGCGTCCGTTACTCCAGACTGGAGCCCTCAGGACGCGCGAAGGCATGCAGACTCCAGACCTCAATTGGACGAGGTCGGTTGAGGCAACTCGGGAATCGCCGAGAGCAAGCGGGTCTCGAGGATGTCTTGGGCGCCGCGGCGGTTCCAAAGCGGTCCAGAACGGCGTCAGACCGTCCTGGAACGCCCTGGCCTAGGCACCCGAAGCTTGCCCAAAGTTTCTAGAGCTCCAGGCAGGGTCGCAGAATACCCTCTGGAGGCGTCCAAATCCGAGACGTCAGAGAGACGCATCGGGTGCTTCCAGACTGCTTTCTTCCTCCAGACCTCCCGCCCCTTCCTGCTCCTCCTGCCCGTCCTGCTCCATGCTGCCCCCCGATCCCTGTTCCCTTATCATCCCCCTCCTGCCGCCTGCCCTCCCTCCCCGGCGCCTGGTGGTTATACAAGGAGTTGCCATGGTCCATAAAATCCATGGAGCCCATTGGGTACTGTGCCGTGCGCTCCGGCACCCCCTGCAGGACTGTCAGGTCCTTGAGATCCTTGCCTCTGAAAATTATGAAGTCGTAGATCTCGTTGGACATCGGCACCTCGGGGACTCTCCGGCCCTCCGTGCCGAACGACCGGACGTTCTGCACCGCGATCGTGGACTCCTCGCGGTTGAGCGTGTAAAGGATGCCCTCATACCTGATGTCCGACGTCGTGATCAGGCTGATTTTGCTGCCGATGTACGGTATGTTCCCGGACATCGCAACGCCAGTGGTGCCGATCAGGCCCTGCGGGGCCCCGACCGCGTCCTCCTCGTCCTGTTCCCTCCTGCTCCCTCGCCCGCCTTCCCCGTTGTCCTCCCTCGTCCTGTGCCCCCCATTTTTCCCCCGTCCTCCCCGCCCCTCGTCATCTGCTACTTCGCCCCCTCGCCACCTACTCTCTGAATACAGCCCTTGGTCCTGCGGCCCATTCGCCTTGCTCATAAGTGTACCATATGATCATGCGCGAGTCGAACATGCACATGCACACACCGATGTGCACACACGTGTATATATATATATATGTATATATACATATACATGTACATATACATATACATATACATATACATTTACAGATACACATACAAAATCATGTACATGGGCATGTGCATACACATATACACGTACATATACATATACATATACATAGACATATACATATACATATACATTTACATATACATATACATATACATAAACATATACATATACATATACATATACATATACATATACATATAGAGATCCATACACATATGCATATGCATAAGCATATACATATACATATACATATACATATACATGTACATGTACATCTACATACACGCATGCCTGCACGAAGGCATACACATACACCTACACATATGCATGCATGTAGACATTTACACATATATATATATATATATATATATATATATGTGTGTGTGTGTGTGTGCCATCGCGCGCGCTTCGCGCGCGCTCAGGTTCTAGCCCAGGCCGGGGGGGCGCTGGACGATCTTGGAAAACGCTATCAAGCACAGGCGCGCGACGGCATCTGAGGAGCTTCTGGGGTGTTCCGCATGCTTCGTCAACTGGCTGTTGGACCTCTTGGGTGCTTCTTGGGGGGGCGTCTGAGGGTCCCTTGAGGGCATCGGCTCTGCAATCTGAAGCCGTCATTGGCCGTCTTGGCTGCGTGGAGGTCCGACTTGAAGCCACGCGCGGCCAAACTGAGGCAATCCGGAAGCCTCCCGGGGGCCTCTTGGATTGGGAGTCCTCTTCGGACCACTTGGGGGCCTCTTGCGGCCTCCTGTGGGCCTTGTGGGGGGGCCGCTCTGCTGTTGGGTCGCGTTCTGTACAGAGCCGCCCGCGCGCTCGCCGCCGCCGCGGTGCGTTCAGCCGAAAAGGTCGAAGACCAAAGGCATGAACGATTCTTGCCCCGGTGCCGGTGCCTGTGCCGGTGCCCGTGCCGGTGCCGGTGCCGGTGCCGGTGCCGGTGCCGGTGCCGGCGCCGGTGCCAGTGCCGGTGCCGGTGCCGGTGCCGGTGCCAGTGCCGGTGCCGGTGCCGGTGCCGGTGCCGGTGCCGGTGCCGGTGCCGGTGCCGGTGCCGGTGCCGGTGCCGGTGCCGGTGCCGGTGCCGGTGCCGCTGCCGGTGCCGGTGCCGGTGCCGGTGCTGGTGGCCGGTGCCGGTGGCCAGTAGCCGGTGCTGGTGCCAGTGCCGGGGCCGGTGCCGGTGCCGGTGCCGGTGCTGGTGCTGGTGGCCGGTGCTGGTGCGGATTCTTGTTTTCCCAGAACATCCTCTCCTTCTCCCTCCGCCTCCCGCCTCCCAGTGCCCATTCCGCCCCTCCAGGGAGGCCCCGCCTGAGCGAGGAGGGTAACGGAAACCCATACTATTTACATATGGTTTCGTGCCCTTCCCACCTCTCCAGAGAGGCCCCGCCTGAGCGAGGAGGGTATCCCACCCCTCCAAGGAAGCCCCGCCTGAGCGAGGAGGGTATCGGAAACCCATACTATTTACATGGTTTCGTGCCCCTCCCACCCCTCGAGGGAGGCCCTGTCTGAGCGAGGAGGCTACCGGAAACCCATACTATTTACATGGTTCCGTGCCCCTCCATCCCCTCCAGGGAAGCCCCGCCTGAGCGAGGAGGGTATCGGGAACCCGTACTATTTACATGGTTTCGTGCCCTTCCCACCTCTCCATGGAGGCCCTGCCTGAGCGAGGAGGGTATCGGAAATTAATAAAGATTACATGGTTTCGTGCTCCTCCCAACCCTCCAGGGAGGCCCCGCCTGAGCGAGGAGGGTATCGGAAACCTATATTATTTACATGGTTTCATGCCCTTTCCATCCCTCCAGGGAGGCCCCGCCTGAGCGAGGAGGGTATCGGAAACCCATACTATTTACATGGTTTCGTGCCCTTCCCACCTCTCCAAGGAGGCCCCGCCTGAGCGAGGAGGGTATCGGAAACCCATGCTATTTACATGGTTTCGTGCCCCTCCCACCCCTCCAGGGAGGCCCCGCCTGAGCGAGGAGGGTATCGGAAACCCATATTATTTACATGGTTTCATGCCCTTCCCATCCCTCCAGGGAGGCCCCGCCTGAGCGAGGAGGGTATCGGAAACCCATATTATTTACATGGTTTCATGCCCTTCCCATCCTCCAGGGAGGCCCCGCCTGAGCGAGAGGGTATCGGACACCCATACTATTTACATGGTTTCGTGCCCTTCCCACCTCTCCAAGGAGGCCCCGCCTGAGCGAGGAGGGTATCGGAAACCCATGCTATTTACATGGTTTCGTGCCCCTCCCACCCCTCCAGGGAGGCCCCGTCTGAGCGAGGAGGCTATCGGAAACCCATGCTATTTACATGGTTCCGTGCCCCTCCATCCCCTCCAGGGAGGCCCCGTCTGAGCGAGGAGGGTATCGGAAACCCATACTATGTAAATGGTTTCGTGCCCCTCCCACTGACACGGGTGAGGAGGGAGGGAGAACATTACCTATCCATCTCACGTCCTACTCCTCCCATGAGGAGGGTGAGGAGGAGGGGGAGTTCTGCGATGAGGAAGGCTTCATCATGATGATGGTGATGACGATGGTTATACTGCTGTTCACGATGACGATGACAATGGCGATAATGGTGATGGACGATGACGATGGCGATAACGGTGATTATGATGATGATGCTGATGATGATGACGATGATGGTGATGACGATGACGATGATGACAACGATGGCGACGACGACGAGGATGATGATGCAGATGCTGGTGATGATGACGATGCTGCTGCTGATGCTGACGCTGCTGGTGCTGAGGATGCCGATGACGACGATGATGCTGATGATCATGACGTCCACGATGATGCGGACGATGACGATGCCAAGGACGGTGATGGTGATGATGATGACGATGCTGATGAAGATGATGATGATGATGCTGATGATGATGATGATGACGATGGTGGCGACGACAATGATGATGATGACGATGACGATGACGATGATGATGATGATGATGCTGATATATGATGATGAGGATGATGATGATGGTTATGATGATGCCGATGATGCTGACGATGATGATGATGACGTCGATGATTTTGATACTGTTGATGATGACGATGATGTTGATGATGACGACGACGGGGTGACGCAGATGCTTCTGATGATGCTGATGATGACGACGATGATGCTGGTGGTGATGATGATGATGATGATGATGATGCCGAGGATGAGGAGGACGAGGAGGAGCAGGACGACGTGAAGGAGGAGGAGGAGGACTCGCTTGAACGAGGAGGGTCGCGGACAGCATTACTCTTTACCAGGTTTCGTAGGCCTCCCCCCTTCCAGCGGGGCCCCGCCAGAGCGAAGAGGGTATCAAGAACCCGTACTATTTGCAAGGCTTCGTTTCCTGAGCACCTGTCCTCCCTCCTCCTTTCTTTCGTCTGCCCTTTCGTGCGTACTTACTCGTTCGATGAGCTTCTCCTTCGTGTTGATGTTGTCGTACCCCATGGGTCCCACGAAACTGTTAATATCTTTATGTGGGGAACTCCGTTTGCATAATTTTAACATTGATTGGACTGCAATCGATTCCACTGGGTTTGCACTTGATTGGCTTGCAACCGATTGGATTGCAACCGCTGGGGGGGCCCACAGGGCAGCGACGAGGAGGCGGCGACGGGACGGTGACGGCGAGCAAGGAACCGCCAGACCGACCCTCAGGCCACGACGACGGGCGGCGACGACGCAGCAAGGGGGAGCGACGGCAAGGACGGAAAAACCAGACCGCCCCTCAAGCCCAGACGACGGGCGGCGACAGGGCGGCAACGGCGAGGAGAGAGCCGCCAGACCGCCCCTCAGACCCAGCTACTAGGAAAGAGAGAAGGCCCCCTTAAGTGCAAGCACTGTTTGGGAAATGTCATGATGTTCAATGTCAATGATGTTTTTCATCCGGTGCCAGTGCTGGTGCCGGTGCGGTTGCGGGTGCGGGTGCCAGTGCCGGTGCTGGCGCCGGCGACGGCGACGGCGCTGGTGCCCGTGCCGGTGCAGGTGCCAATGCCGGCGCAGGCGCCGGCGCCGGTGCTGGTGCCGGTGCCGGTGCCGGTGCTGGTGCCGGTGCCGGTGCTGGTGCCGGTGCCGGAGCCGGTGCTGGTGCCGGTGCGGGTGCCGGTGCCGGTGCCGGTGCCAACGCCGATGCCGGTGCCGGTGCCGGTGCCGGTGCCGGTGCCGGCGCCGGTGCCGGTGCCGGTGCCGGTGCCGGTGCCGGTGCCGGTGCCGGTGCCGGTGCCGGTGCCGGTGCCGGTGCCGGTGCCGTGCCGGTGCCGGTGCCGTGGCCGGTGCCGGTGCCGGTGCCGGTGCCGGGCCCGCTCTCCTCCCCGGCGCCGCCGCGCTGCGGCCACCGGGTTCGCCGCAGCGCACGCCTCGGGGTCCTCCAGGAACTTCTTGACAGGCTCCATTTCCTCCTCCTCTTCCTCCTCCTCCTCCTCCTCCTCCTCCTCCTTCTCCTCCTCCTCAGCGGCCGGCTCCGGGGCCTTTTCCCTCTGCGGCGGCCTGTGGCACGGCGCCTCCTCTTCCTCCTCGGCGGGTTCCTCCTTCCTGGCTGGACGGGCAGGGGGCCTCTGCGGTCTCCTCCTGGCCTGATGCCGCCGGCCGCCGGCTCGTCCTCGTCCTCGCCCTCCTCCCCCTCCTCCTCCTCCTCGACGCTCGTCGTGCGTTGCCTCCTGGCCGTCGTCCTGACAGCCTCCTTTGGGCTCCCGCAGCCTCCCTGCTGCCTCCTC